CAATAAGGCTAGACCATTGTATTTCTTGTTTTACATATTTACTGTCCTCAGAAGAATTTCTTGTATGGTTACATTTTGACCAATAAAAACATTAGAGTTTTATTTTTGGTGCGGGGAAAATTCACTTTTATTTCTTTTCATTATTCTTGAAAAGTACAACTGGAGGATAAATAAAACAAGAAATAGATTGGTCTGGTCTAGAATTTGAAATATAGGTGTGCTTATACAGCATGCATGAGAAGCAATGTACAGGACACCTTTAGCCTAGTTTACTAAAGGTAAAAGATGCAAATGTGTTATGTGATTTTTAAGATATCAGAAGTTTAAACATTTTGGACATCTTTGAAATAATAGTGTGAAATGAGAGATAGTTGGTTATGATGCCTCTATCAGTATTATACCAGTCACATCCCAATCAAGGGCATCAACTTTATATATTTGCATTGGGGTGAGGAGTCAAACCAATGCCTGTGGCTGCGTCACATAAGATTTATGCAGCTGAACATAGACAAAGCATGTGCAAGGTGAACATGTCACAGTGGAAATTTTACTGTCCAAGTATAGACATCCATCAAATCCTGCATGGTGTTAGTTGTTTGTGTATTCACAAATGTTGTAGAGCATCAGCTGAGCAGATATAAAACTGACCATTGTCAGATTTCCCCATAAAATGACAAAAAGAAATGAGTTTTTGTTAAAGATGTTTTATTGCTAAAATACAGAGCAGCCTGTCTTGAAATGGGACAGGCAAGAAAGAATACTATGAAATGTAATTATATGTAGTACCCGAACTCATTAAGTTGGTTCACACACATATCTTTATGTCTGTTGAAAAGACTCTTACAAACAATTGAAGTAATGTCATTGGCTCACCAGCGTGAAATGTGTAAATGCAGTGGAGGTTACATGTATATGGCATTGAACATTACACCCATCATATTTGTGAAAATATAAACTAGTAAACAAACCAAGGTAACTATTTGAAAATATTTTCATAAACAGAAGCATCCCCTACATTCCCATTCCTTAAAAGTATTTTCCAAGTGTTACAAGAATAATTTCAAACCATACAACTGATTAAAATCCAACAATAACCAAGTCTATGATATAAATACAAGTATTACAGTCACATTTCACAAAATGTTCGGGCTCATCACCCAGAAGACCCTGTTTTGATTCCCCCACATGGGTACAGCCCATTTCTAGTGTCCCCGTCATTGATATTGCTGGAATATTGCTAAAAGTGGTGTAAAACCATACTCACTCACAATCACCTCAAATGTCACCTTGAATGTTGACATAGCACTAACATTAAACATGGCAGTAATTATAACCAGACATGAAAATAAAGGAATACCTTGCATCATATATGAGTAATAATAAGTGAAACATGTTTTGCAGCTACACATGAACACTGACATCAACTTTAATGATCATGACCAAAACCTTCAAAGAACAGGGTATCCATTTGAAGAAGAAGGCACATGTCATGTTTAATTATGCATGTGTGATTCCTTCTTAGAACCTGTGTTGTCTTGTGACATGAACATTTTTACCAAAACAATTCCCGGGACTAATGAAGAATAATCTCATTAAATTAATCTTTGTGTTTGTAGTCATTCTGAGGAAACAACACTGTTTCCACTAAGGCTGCACATCTTGTTTATAAATTATTACCTTTATCAAATGATTTGGTATGAACTCATGATAAGGTAACTACATTTCACAAAATGTCCTCCAGAAACAAAATATGGCAAAAATCTGGAGCAACAAAAACTGACAAAGCTGAATATATTCCAAGATGGGGTAATTTTCTTTTTTTCTAAGACTAACAGCATACACATTAAATATTTAGATGTAACATCACATGTCAGACATTATTCACATATCATGAATTACACATATAAAAACTTTCTTAGTTCATAAAGGGCAACAGTTTTACATGCCTTCCATGGCAGACATGCAGAGACTTAGTTGCCAGTATGTCAGCCTTAATTAAGTACTAACTATCACAAAGTAATATAACAGCCAGTATCATGAAATGCAAGAAATATGGCATAACTTTACTATTCCATTGTTTTACTACATGCCACATATACTAATATCAAACCATCAAACTATATCAAATCATACTTTATAAATCACATTGTCATGCAGTGTAAAAAAAATGTCACTGGAAGGTGGTCCAATTGTTCAGGCAGGGACAATAAGCACAAATGGGGAACAGAAAACTGCACAAAATGTTTGTGAGGGAAAATTAATGGAAACTTCTGTTCTGCTGGCAAAATAAATAAAAATTCTTGCTGAGACTATTTTACTGCTTCCAAAACAGAAGTTCACTTAATTTGTCTCCATTATGGAGGTGTTACTCAGCTGACATCAGAATGCCAGAACAATTATCAAAATACATCAAACAAATCTGTAAACTGCATAATGAATGCACTTGAATCATTCCTGTAGTCCATCAAGATAACTGTCATCACTTGTCGTCTACAGTGAT